TATCAACACAGAGCTCCCCTCCTCACTTCCACAGCATTCCTTCATGTGGATGGATTCTATTTGTTAAACAGCTCCCTATTGATGGGTACATGAGTTTCCAATCTTTTGCTGTAATAAACAAATAGACTTTTATGGATCTCATTTGCATACAGTAGCATATTTGTAGGATTAAGTCTTCGATGTGGGATTGCTAGGTGAGATGCATTCATAACTTTGATAGGTATCTCCAGATTACTCTCTATGCTGATTGTAACAATTTACACTCCCACCAGCAGTATATGAGCATGTCTGTTTCCCTATGACCTCATCAAAAGAGTGTATTTTCAAACTTCTGCATTTTTGCCTGTGTGATAAATTTTAAAAATCTAACTTGGTGTTACAGCTTTATAATGAGGAGGCTGACTCATAGCTTTGTTTGTTTTTAAATTTCCATGTCTCTGCTCAGTGCTTTCCCTTTTGTGAACATTTGCCTGTGAGATCTTTGGGCATGCAATGGTCTGTTTAATTAATAAACAGAGGAGAGCTGCAGCCTCAATTCAACAGTTACTATTTCTCCCTGCATCTTATCCCTGTTAAATGCTCTAGTTGCCTTCTAGCTAAGTGATTATTTATGATTGTGATGATTTATACCCTGATTTATTTCTAAGATATTTCAAGTCAGAAAGTTGGAATAAGGGGAAACTAAGAGTAAAACATGACTGTAGGAAAAGCAAGACGAGGCCAGAGATGAAGTCAGCGCCCCAGATGTCAACACTTGCTAGAGGTCGGTCATAGATCTGGCCAGTACAAAGAGAGACAGAGTTCACCGCATCTCCGCAGTGCTGGCTTCCCAGAGTCTGTGATAGATACGGTAGAGTGCTTCGAGAATAGACACTCCTCTTCCTTTGCTCTCATGGTCCCACCGGGGTGCCGTACAGAACTGGAGCACAAAGGCAGCAGCACGACTGGGAGGAAAGCAGTCTGGCTGATGGGAAGGGAAGGGAGAGGAGAGGCTTGGTAGTAAGGAGACCCGAGGAAAGGAGGAAGGGAATGTGCTTAGAATACACACTGGTCAGAGGCGGCTGCCTCCAAAAATTACCTACACCTGGATAGATGTAGCACCACTTACCAAACTGTAGGTGTTGTAAATTCATATCAACTTAATTCCACTGAAATTCTTTTTTTTTTTAATTTATTCATTTATTTGACTGTGCCAGGTCTTGGCTGTGGCATGTGGAATCTTCAGTTGCAGCATGTGGGATCTAGTTCCCTTATCAGGGATTGAACCCAGGCCCCCTGCATTGGGAGTGTGGAGTCTTAGCCACTGGACCACCAGGGAAGTCCGCTACTGAAATTCTCATTCACGTGGCATGCTTTCTCTAAGTCCCGACCTTGGTCAGATTTCTTTGGGGCATCTTGGCTTATTTTTCTGGGCAAGTTGTACTTGGAGTTGACTTCTCTAGAAAAAGGAGATTGCTTTGGGCTTGGTTAGTTACAATACATTGTAAGAAAACATTTGGCATCCTAAAGGAAGGGAGCATACTTCTAAGAATGTTTAGGAAAGACCTGAGAACATCTTCATCTCTATCTAATATTTTGCTTTTCCACATACTTCATGCTGAAGGGAATGGCAAACCACTTCAGTATTCTTACCTTGAGAACCCCATGAAGAGAATAAAAAGGCAAAAAGATATGACAGTGAAAGATGAACTCCCCAGATCAGTAGGTGCCCAATATGCTACTGGAGAAGAGCAGAGAAATAGCTCCAGAAAGAATTAAGAGGCTGAATCAAAGCAAAAATAGCACCTGACTGTGGATGTGACTGGTGATGGAAGTAAAGTTCAAAGCATAGAAATCTGGAATGTGAGGTCCATGAATCAAGGTAAATTGGAAGTGGTCAAACAGGAGATGGCAAGAATGAATATCGACATTTTAGGAATCAGTAAGCTAAAATGGGATGGAATGGGTGAATTTAATTCAAATGACCATTATAACTACTATTGTGGGCAAGAAACCCTTAGAAGAAATGGAGTAGCCCTCAGTATCAACAAAAGAGTCAAAAATACAGTACTTGGGTGCAGTCTCAAAAAACGACAAAATGATCTCTGTTGGTTTCCAAGGCAAACCATTCAGTATCACAGTAATCCAAGTCTATGCCCCACCGCTAATGCTGAAGAAGCTGAAGTTGAATGGTTCTATGAAGACCTACAAGACCTTCTAGAACTAACATCAAGAAAAGATGTCCTTTTCATTATAGGGGACTGGAATGCAAAAGTAGGAAGTCAAGAGATACCTGGAATAACGGGCAAGTTTGTCCTTGGAGTACAGAATGAAGCAGGGCAAAGGCTAACAGAGTTCTGCCAAGAGAACGCACCGGTCATAAGAAACACCCTCTCCCAACAACACAAGAGATGACTCTACACATGGACTTCACCAGATGATCAACACCAAAATCAGATTGATTATATTTTTTGCAGTCGAAGATGGAGAAGCTCTATACAGTCAGCAAAAACAAGACCAGGAGCTGACTGTGGCTCAGCTCATGAACTCCCTATTGCCAAATTCAGACCTAAATTGAAGAAAGTAGGGAAAACCTCTAGACTATTCAGGTATGACCTAAATCTAATCCCTTTTGATTATACAGTGGAAGTAACAGATAGATTCAAAGAATTAGATCTGATAGACAGAGTGCCTGAAGAACTATGGACAGAGTGCCTGACACTGTACAGGAGGCAATGATCGAAACCATCCCCAAGAAAAAGAAATGCAAAAAAGCAAAATGATCATCTGAGGAGACCTTACAAATAGCTGAGTAAGGAAGATAAGAGAAAGGAAAAGGAGAAAAGGAAAGATATATCCATCTGAATGCAGAGTTCCAAAGAATAGCCAGGAGAGATAAGAAAGCCTTCCTCACTGATCAATGCAAAGAAATAGAGGAAAACAACAGAATGGGCAAGACTAGAGATCTCTTCAAGAAAATCACAGATACCAAGGGAAAATTTCATTCAAAGAGGGGCTCAATAAAGGACAGAAATGGTATGGACCTAACAGAAGCAGAAGATATTAAGAAGAGGTGGCAAGAATACACAGAAGAACTGTACAAAAAAGATTTTCATGACCCAGATAATTATGAAGGTGTCATCACTCACACTCACCTAAAGCTGGACATTCTGGAATGTGAAGTCAGGTGGGCCTTAGGAAGCATCTCTACAAATAAAGCTAGTGAAGGTGATGGAATTCCAGCTGAGCTATTTCAAATCCTAAAAGATGATGCTGTGAAAGTGCTGCACTCAATATGACAGCAAATGTGGGAAACTCAGCAGTGGCCACAGGACTGGAAAAGGTCAGTTTTCATTCTAATCCCAGAAAAAGACAATGCCAAAGAATGTTCATAATACTGCATAATTGCACTCATCTCACACACTGGCAAAGTAATACTCAAAATTCTCCAAGCTATGTTTTAACAGTACATGAACTGAGAGCCTCCAGATATTCAAGCTGGGTTTAGAAAAGGCAGAGGAACCAGAGATCAAATTGCCAACATCCATTGGATCATAGAGAACACAAGAGAATTCCAGAAAAACATCTACTTCGGCTTCATTGACTATTCTAAAGACTTTGACTGGGTGGATCACGACAAACTGTGGAAAATTTTTCAAGAGATAGGAATACCAGACCACCTTACCTGTCTCCTGAGAAACTGTATGTAGGTCAAGAAGCAACAGTTAGCACTGAACGTGGAACATCAGACTGGTTCCAAATTGGGAAAGGAGTACGTCAAGGCTGTATATTGTCACCTTGCTTATTTAACTTATATGCAGAGTACATCATGCAAAATGCCAGGCTGGACGAAGCACAAGCTAGAATCAAGATTTCTGGGAGAAATATCAATAACCTCAGCTATGCAGATGACACCACCCTTATAGCAGAAAGTGAAGAGGAACTAAAAAGCCTCTTGATGAAAATGAAAGAGGAGAGTGGAAAAACCTGGCTTAAAGCTCAACATTCAGAAAACTAAGATCATGGCATCCGGTCCCATCACTTTATGGCAAAGAGATGGGGAAACAGTGGAAACATGAGAGACTATTTTTGGGGGCTCCAAAATCACTGCAGATGGTAACTGCAGCTATGAAATTAAAAAAACACTTTTTCCTTGGAAGAAAAGCTATGACCAACCTAGACAGCATGTTAAAAAGCAGAGACATTACTTTGCCAGCAAATGTCCATCTAGTCAAAGCTATGGTTTTTCCAGTAGTCATGTATGGATGTGAGAATTGGACCATAAAGAAATCTGAGTGCCAAAGAATTGATGTTTTTGAACTGTGGTATTGGAGAAGACTCTTGAGAGTCCCTTGGACAGCATGGAGATCAAACCAGTCAATCCTAAAGGAAATCAAACCTGAATATTCATTGGAAGAACTGATGCTGAAGCTATAGTTCCAATACACTGGCCACCTGATGCAAAGAGCTGGCTCATTAGAAAAGACCCAGATGCTGGAAAAGATTGAAAGCAGGAGGAGAAGGGGACGACGGAGATGAGATGGTTGGATGGCATCACTGACTTGATGGACATGAGTTTGAGGAAGCTCCAGGGGTTGGTGATGGACAGGGGAAGGTTGGTGATGGACAGACTAGGGAAGCCTAGCGTGCTGCAGTCTTTTGGGTTGCAAAGAGTCGGACATGACTGAGTGACTGAACTGAACTTATACTTCAGGCATTAAATTGTCACTTTAAATCTAGATTGAAAAATCAGCCATCCTATAACTATAGCTCTGGTAAGAGTTGTTTGCTTGTGGAAGGGTGTATGAGAAACAAAAAATAGTGCTAGTGTAGTGGAATAAACATTTTTCCCAAAAAATCAATGTTGTTATGTTGTCTTTTCACACACACACAAAACCATAGCCATTGCTCAGGATCAAAAATAAACTTGTTTTGCTTCATTTGGTTCAGATAAAGCTATCTTCTCTTCAGACGAACCAAACAAACCCTTTTACTTACAGCACAATATTTTGTCTTTCCAGGCATCCTATAAACCACTGTTGAAGCAGGTCGTGGAGGAAATATTTAATCCCGAGAGGCCAGATCCAGTTGACATTGAACACATGTCTTCAGGCCTCACTGATCTCCTTAAAACTGGATTCAGCATGTTCATGAAGGTAAAGTCACCGTGACAAGGTAATCCTAAGTGTAATGCTATCTTTGCTGGGCTTGAAAATGCTGGTCCCTCCTTAACCCTGAGTATCACAGAAAAGAATGTCTGGCCTTTCTGGAATCAGGTACAATCTTCATGTAACTTTTGCTTATAAGCAGCCTGACCTTCTAGCTTCCCTTAACCTAAGTATTATGATCTTTTCTGATCAATAGGTAAGGACAGAGCCCTCCAGGGTAGTGCTACTGAAAGTATCCCTCCTGGTTCACATTTTCACTTAACACAAATCCACATACAGATCTTAGTGGGAGTGTTGTGCCCTTAATTCTAGAGCTTACTGTGTGGGATAACAAGTAATTCTCCTCAGTCATACAACCAGCATCATCCCACAATCCATTTGAAAATGACTTTTAATTTGGCTTAACATACTCCTGGGTGACAAGTACGAGAATTTCTCTAGCTAATATCGAGCCTAAGTCAAAATTACCAAACCGCCTTTGCAGTGGAGATGAAAGGAGGAAAAGTACACAAATGTGATCTATTTTTAACCCACTGTAAAGTTTCTAAATTTAAAAAGATCTAAATGAGATTACAGGCTGACCTCCTCGTCTATGCCAGGATTTCGGTTGTAATAACTCTTGGAAATAACAGAATGTTTTGCCAGTTTCAAAGCGTCTTTGAAATCATGAATTAATCTTCATAGATGATCTGGCCTTTCAGAGTTCAATAAATGCATATGCCAGGAAAACTGGTCCGCTCCAAAAGCCAGAGGGCGGAAGCCAGTCAGACTCTAAACCAAGCAGTGAGCAGCTGGAATGGACTGTAGGTCTCCTCCCCAGTACTTCCAGTCATCATCAGCTTCTGATGCAACATGTGGCTGGGGCATTTTCCCTCTATCTGTTTTTTTGTTGTTTTTTAAAAAATAATACAGCACAGATCAGCTTCTCAAAAGTGTTCAAGGGCTCCTGTGTAAATGTGGGCCAGGGTTGTCTGGCAGCTCTTCATTCTGGCTGGTTTTTACAGATGCTTCCGAGCCAGATGTGCTCTCTGACTTTCTCCACCTGAGCACTCTATTGCTTCATTCATAAGCTTGGACTTAACCTTGAAGAGAAACTAAAATAAGAAGTGTGGATTTTCCTGCCCTCGTTGGTCAGGTCTGAGCACAGCCTACTGTGACCTTTTGCAGTCAGCCTGCTGCATCCATAGTCTGGCCAAGGGCCCAAGTGGAGGCTCGAACCCGCCGAAGCAGAGCGCTGATTTGCAAAGAGGCATGGTGTCAGTGAGAGGAGGCCTTAACTTGTCCGAACATAACTCGCCAATGATGTTCTACAGAAGAACGGTTTCCTGGCAAAAGGGTTCTGTGACAAAATATGTCACAGAACATTATTAAACAGAAAATTAAACCGAAAGTCTTTGCTGTCACATGTCACAGTACCTTTAATACGCTAATGGACTTTGCAACACTCTGACGGCAGACACAGACCGTCTGTTGTAGGAGGACTGTCCACTTGTGTTTTCCATCGCTGTTTCATGAACCATGAGACATTACATCTTTAAATTACCCTTTTAAACTCTATAGGGTGTTTTCCGCAGTTCTCCTTGTGGTCGGAAGCTTCACTGTCCTGAGACGGGCTTTGCCTGGGGGATGTTTAGGACTGTCCTGGGCCATCACTGGGCTGCCAAGTTTCTCTCCATTCAAATCCCTGGAGTTAGGGTTCATACAGAGATGCTCCTGCCCCCAGAGACGGATCCCAAAGGGAGGGTCCCATTTAATGGATCTAAGAAAAAGAATTGTGCGTTCTCGCAGCAGCTGCCGGGACCCACTCCTCAGCCCCCAGCTGCTGGGTCTCTGCACTCACTTACCAGGGGCGTCTCATTTGTCTGCAGGTGGTGGGAGAGTCTTGGTGGGCTAGGCAGAACCCTCCCCACCCCAGCACCCCAAGGGAGAATCGTTTTATTTTGTTTCTACCTGGACCTCTATGGCTGGCTCTTCTCATCATTCCAGAGGACTTGGCAAGGAAAGTTACTGGCAGCCCACGTGTCAGGGCTTGAACAAAACTGTGGTAAATGAAAAGAGGAACGCTGGGCTTTGAGGAACCGCTTTGGTTTGGTTTAAGGCCAGTGGAAAGAAGAGGATGTGGAGGGAGGAGGCAGAGGCTCTCATGGCCACGGCCGTTCACCAGTCTCCCTGGTCCTGTTCTCGGAGGCTTCTCACTACCAGAGTCAGGTAGCTAAGCTGTGGTCACCTGTACCCGCGGATCAGCCATTCTCACATTCAGACCTTACAATGACCCTTCCATTATCCCTGCTTTACCCACGGGGAAACTGAAGCCCGGAGGGGTAAGCAGTAGATGGAACTTTCAGAAGGCTCGGGTCGGGTCGTCCTCCCCCCTCTTCTAGGTGTTTTCTGAACAGCACGCAGGAAGTGGGACACCAGGATTCGTCCCCAGATCCATCTTATTCCAAAGCCCACACAACATTTCTTGGCACCAGGATGCTACCAGGTATTCTCTTGGAAGTTCAGTATTCGTGTGTCGTAAACTCTTTCCTTCCTGCTGACTCATTAGCACAGGTGCTTTCCCTCCCCAGTATCTATGCAGTACCTCAGTCAGTTCCCAGCCCGGAGTGAACCTCAGAACAGCCCAGGTGAGGGCCCTCTCCCGCGGTCATCTGCCGGTACTGCTTCTCTGGGACTCAGTCCAGGGACTCATGGGCCGTACAGCCCCGGGGGGAGAAATGTGCACCACACGCTGCGACTTCATTCTGTATCAGCGGCCGACAGCCATTGCTTTCCTGCCACTTGCTGCCCTACTCTGCCTCTGGGACCTGTTTCCCCCTCTTCTCACTCAGAGCCAACCGAAGCTAAGCCTGAAAGGACCAAACAGAACCTGATGAAATAAAGGTATCCATGTGGCCTCCTTCTCTGCTTGGGGTGCTGCTCGTCCAAATGGGAGAGCCGTGGTGCTGGAAAGGGAGCTGAGCCACTCGCCTGTCTCTGGACTCACATGGTTTCACAGATGACATTGGCTCAGAGTCATCAGAGGGAGAACCTGCAGCCTAGGCAGGGGTGAGAAGCCGGGGAGAGATGTGCTCGTAAGTAGACGAGTAGATGTTCCCGCAGGGTGTGTTGTGGGCCCCACAGCGGTGACAGGAAGACGACAGGAGAGGGGTTTCCAGGCCCCAGGGTATCGTCAGGGCGCCTTACACTGTGCACACACCACTGCGGCTGCATGTACTCCTGCTTTATCATGATACATCTCTGTCATTACACGTTGGAGTGAAGTGAAAGTCACTCAGTCATGTCCGACTCTTTGTGGACTATAAATTGAGGATGATAATTATACCCACTTTATAGGGCTGTTGTGAGAATGCAGTGAGTTCATACATACAACGGTGCCTGTCCTACAGTAAGTGCTAAGTTCAGTCGTGTCTGACTCCCTGTGACCCCATGAACCGCAGCACGCCAGGCCTCCCTGTCCATCACCAACTTCTGGAGTCCACCCAAACCCATGTCCATTGAGTCGGTGATGCCATCCAACCATCTCATCCTCTGTCGTCCCCTCTCCTCCTGCCCTCAGTCTTTCCCAGCATCAGGGTCTTTTTTAATGAGTCAGCTCTTCACAACAGGTGGCCAAAGTTTTGGAGTTTCAGCTCAACATCAGTCCCTCCAATGAACACCCAGAACTGATCATCCTTTAGGATGGACTGTGTGGATCTCCTTGCAGTCCAAGGGACTCTCAAGAGTCTTCTCCAACATCACAGTTCAAAAGCATCAATTCTTCTGTGTTTGTCTTTCTTAGTCCAACTCTCATGTCCATACATGATCACTGGAAAAACCATAGCCTTGACTAGATGGACCTTTGTTAGCAAAGTAATATCTCTGCTTTTTAATATGCTATCTAGGTTGGTCATAACTTTCCTTCCAAGGAAGGAAACAAGAAACAAGCGACCTTTAATTTCATGGATGCAATCACCATCCGCAGTGATTTTGGAGTCCAGAAAAATAAAGTCAGCCACTGTTTCCACTGTTTCCCCATCTATCTGCCATGAAGTGATGGGACCAGATGCCATGATCTTAGTTTTCTGAATGTTGACCTTTAAGCCCACGTTTTTACTCTCCTCTTTCACTTTCATCAAGAGGCTCTTTAGTTCTCTTCACTTTCTGCCATAAGGGTGGTGTCTTCTGCATATCTGAGGTTATTGATATTTCTCCAGCAATCTTGATTCCAGGTTGTGCTTCATCCAGCCCAGCATTTCTCATGATGTACTCTGCATATAAGTTAAAAAAGCAGGATGATAATATACAGCCTTGCTGTACTCCTTTTCCTATTTGGAACCAGTATGTTGTTCCATGTCCAGTTCTAACTGTTGCTTCCTGACCTGCATACAGATTTCTCAGGAGGCAGGTCAGGTGGTCTGGTATTCCCATCTCTTGAAGACTTTTCCAGTTTATTGTGATCCACACAGTCAAAGGCTTTGGCATAGTCAATAAAGCAGAAGTAGATGTTTTTCTGGAACTCTCTTCCTTTTTCGATGATCCAGCGGATGTTGGCAGTTTGATCTCTGGTTCCTCTGCCTTTTCTAAAACCAGCTTGAACATCTGAAATTTCACGGTTCACATATTGCTGAAGCCTGGCTTGGAGAATTTTGAGCATTACTTTACTAGTGTGTGAGATGACTGCAATTGTGTGGTAGTTTGAGCATTCTTTGGCACGGCCTTTCTTTGGGATTGGAACGAAAACTGACCTTTTCCAGTCCTGTGGCCACTGCTGAGTTTTCCACATTTGCTGACATATTGAGTGCAGCACTTTCACCGCATCATCTTTTAGGATTTGAAATAGCTCAGCTGGAATTCCATCACCTTCACTAGCTTTGTTCATAGTGATGCTTCCTAAGGCCCACCTGACTTCACATTCCAGGATGTCTGGCTCTAGGTGAGTGTGAGTGATGACATCTTCATGATTATCTGGGTCATGAAGATCTTTTTTGTACAGTTCTTCTGTGTAT